TATCAACACTGTTCTCTACTTACTCAGATCAAAACTCTAGGTAGGGAAGTTAAAATGTATCAGACAGAGTAAGTGGTGGCAATGAACCACTGGCAGAAAGAATTCTTTGAATTGTGTGGATAAATGGTCTAAAGGCAAAAATTCTATAGCATCCTAAAGGCAACTAGAGACTTAAGTTCAGTAGATGATTTTTCAGAATAAAATCTTGGCATGCTTTGACATGGTACTACTGTCTTTGTAAATAGTACAATGAAGCAATGAGCCCTGGGCTTATTGGCAGTGAAGATAAAGAAAGGTTGAAAATGAAAGAGAGACAAATATTTATCAAACAAATGCAAACAAAATGAAAACAGGAACGGAAATTTTAATTCCAGACAAAGTAGATTTCAATGCCAAAAGCAGAAGAAGCAAAAGGTTTGGCAGGAGGTAGGGACTTAACAAAGACCAAACGGCCCTAACAAGCCATACACCTAATTATGAAACATCAAATTAGAGAGTGCAAACACTGCTGGAAAGTCAAGGAAAAACAGAAAGAAGGGCAGTTGTTTGGAAGGTCTGTACTAACTTCTCACCTAATGTAGAACAAGCAGAGAGAAACCTAGGCAAGCTGAAGGTAGAGTCCAAGGGCTACAGAGACATAAACAGTCAAGATTTTTCAATGTCGTCATCGATGTCAACCCATGTCTTTAGAAATAGAATAGTGTGTTTTATCTCCAAAAATTTAGCACTGGGGATCCTGTAAATATTCGGTCATGCAGGATCAGAAGGGTGCAATCAAATTTTCTGCTATATCCGTGTTACTAGAAGAACAAATTCCCCACTGTAGGAGAAGTACCATGCTTAGCAGCAATTTCTGCTTGTTTATAAATTCTCCTAGGGCTCACCTTGTGAATTTCTAAAGTCCTGATGTCCAACATTTTAATCCACTCACATACATAGTGTATCAATACCAAAAACATTAATATGAACAGAAAAATGGTATTGTTTCCCAGTCATTGATGCAGTCTGAAGACTGTTGGGTTCCATCTAATTCCCATGCATGTAATAGGCTACCTGGAACTTTTTGCTAAAGTAAACACAGCTGAAAATAGTGTGAGAACAAGAATGGTTTGAGTTCTTACTGACAATTCGCAGCCCAAAGAGGACTATAGCTAAACTTCAAGACTTACGGGTTCCTGATCAGTAGAGTAAGATGGATGACCCTTCATAAGGTGAAATGAGACTAAGAAACAAGAGGTCAACAGGTGCTCCCTCCTCTACCCTTGCATCTTCCTTTCTTCCTTCTTACCCTTATAAACCTCTGCATTATCTAAAGCATTCCCAATACTTTAATTCTTCAGTGTATTTACACTAGATTTTACCTCAACTCAGAATCATGTAGACATCTTTATAGTGATTTTTTTAAGTGGGATGCCTGATAGGCATGACAGCCTTAATATGCTCCAACTCTAAGATCTTGGGGTCTTTTCCAGCTTTGTCTATGACCTTGACCTCGACTTTAAATAAACAGTACTACTGTTCACTTAGAGAAAAAATGCAAAGTAGTCTGCATGTCTTAAATTTTAAATATTCATTCTTCTGCTTCCACCTTCTCACTGCTGGGATTTCAACCTGGTACTACCATGCCCTGTATATACCATACTATGAATAAAATGTGGACAGCACTATACTGGGTAGACTATAGTCCCCATCCACCCTCTTGTTGTTTCTTTAAGAACGTAACAAGTATATGCTTTGCATTCCAATGATGTTTCTTAATTTAAGTCCACTAAAATTTTTGCAATTAGATTCCCAGTACTAAACGTGGATTTTCATTTTGATAAAAGTTTTCATGGTTTTGTTTTTGTTTTTCTGTACTGTTGGTATTTCAATGGGGTGCAGAGGAAAAAAAACTACTTTGTACAAAGAAAAAATACTAAATGTCACCATTGAGTCATACTTTGGATTTTTTATGTTAACTGACATTCTATACATCAATCGAGTTGAACAAAGTTATAGTGTTATTGGAGAGATAGGTTATATAAAGTTATAGTGTTATAGGAGATATAGGTTAAATACAAAATGAGTAACACATCTTATATTGCTAGGCATCAGTCAGATCTCCCTTATCTGTGTAAGTATTTATGGAATTTGGGTCATAATGGATAAGAAGGAGGTAGTCAGAAATTCCTTTCATGATACTTAGCATTTGAGAGTTTTGTGCTGTGGGGTATACACATACAACAATGATTGATGTAATGCTGCCACCAAAGACTTCTATTTTATGAGTGCATAAGAATTCACTTTTAAAACATATTCATGATAAAAATACATGAGACTCTAGGTTCTTGTGTATAAAAATTTACTATATTATACTGGCTGTGAAGGAAAAGCCAATTTTCATGGCTCCTGTCAGTCACATGTGGTTTGGAAATGTTTATACATTCCAGATGTACTCAGTGTAAACTGGAGAATCATATCCTATTTCCACTGGCTTGCATGCACGCATATAAAACTTGTTTTTCTCACAGTGCCACATGAAAATGCATGAAGAACTGGCCTCAGTGATCACAATTAATTAACTTTCTTCTTGAACTTTCACAACTCTGATGCTAAGGGCAGTTCTGGTCCTTCATGTTTACAGAGGCTGTAACTTCTGCTTTGTTGCTTTTCTTGTTCAATTCTGTTCCACAGAGCATTAAAAACAACTGCTGTGTAACATGAGTTTCTCATACCTACTATGTATCAGGCCCTCTACCAGGCACTAGCAAATACTGAGCAGGACTTCCACTGCAGGGGTCCAGAGTTCAATGTGAAAGAACACCCAGTAAACAGATTACAAAGTGGTGGTCACTTTGGTACAGCTTGTATTATATATTATGACTTATGGAAACAGTGAAGAAGTTTGACAGAGCTTCCCAGGGTAGGAGTTCTGATGATGAAGTTTGAGATGACAAGGACTGGACAGCATTCAAAAGAGTAGGAACATTATGTGCACAGACTCATTTAGAACACATGACTCAAGGACCTGAAGGAAATGCTATGTGACTTAAGGCCAGACATACAGCCAATATAGAAAATAATTTGAAAATACATGAGGAAAAGGTGATGATTATTAAAGTCTACATTTTAATAATATGCATTTTGTGTTAAGGTTTGAAAGTATCTTCTCACTAAGAAGACAAATGTATCGTGGATGAACTAGCTCATGATACTATGTGCAATATCCAGACTGTCTCTCACTGTGTTCTGCTTCCTGACACATAACACAATACATGGCATCTATTTAATGCTCAATTAACACAAGCCACAATTGCTGCAAGTAGTACATAGCCTCTCAGATGTCCCTTCCTCTTGATTACCTGCTAGACCTGCTGGCTAACTTTTACTGTATAATGTGTGTTAGAAGTAGTGGTCAGTGACTCCCATTAGGTTATAAAAATGATGCGGCTTCCCTCTTGGGAAATTCTGAAGTATTCAACATCTCTGAGCCTTTTTCTTTTGGATCATTAGCTATCACATCTAAGATATTCAGTTTATGGAGAGTTTAACAATGAGCAAACAGTCACCCTTACATGAGATTGCACACTGTTCATACCTACTGGGGGTATATCTTCTGAGGTTACCAGTCACTACTATAATGGACTTTGAAGTGAATCTCCCAACTTCCTTTAAACCTTGAAATAACTGCAACCCAACAGCTCAATTGCACTCTCATAAGAGTTGCCTAAGCCTTCAGCATGTCTCTGAAGTGCATCTAGATTTATCACCCATAGAAGCCATGTCATATCAAAACATCAAATCACTACATTTTGGTATGACTTGCTATTCAGAAGTAGAAAAACAGTATTTTCTTCTAGTATTATCTATTCTGTATGTCTCTCAGGGATGGTTTCTAGTATACCTGGGATGGATATGGTGGCACTAAAGGACTCTCTAACAGGCCTTTACATGGCAAACACAGGCCCAAGCAAATGTGGCACCAACAGGTTTTACCTTTCCCCCTTTTCCCCCTTGCTAAAAACGGTTAGATTACATTCCTAATGCTAGCCCCCAAGGTCCGTTCCTTTATTTAGCCACTGACTCATTCCTGAGAAAAACACCCAGGTCCAACAATCAACTTTCATTATTTGCCTAACATGTCCAATGAAGATTTACATCTCCCCCGCCTTGCCTGCCCCTGCCCCCTCCCTGTAATAAATCTTCTATGTGCTGAGAATTTGGTGTCTCGGTGTGTCCTGTATGAGATGATGGAACATTGCTTGGAAATCCAGCTTTTATGATTAGGTTCTGGGTTACCAAGCAGGTGGTCCCACCTCCCTCTCCAAGGAAGTGCATCTGTTACCCTTTGGTAACACTAATCTATTAGACCATTGATACATCATTCTACAACACAGACTGTTTAATTCAAAGTGTTCCCCAACTCCAAAAGTAGATATAGAAATAATGTGAATCATAACCCTTCTTCTAGCTGCTGTAAAGAATCCAGGGACCCTCATCTGTCTAGATTATGAAAATCACAAATGTCCACAGAAAGGTACATGTAGCTAACATATTCCCAATGTCCATATGTGACCCTAATGATTATATGACATGCTGCCTTAGTAAATAATTCTTAAACTTTCTGCATACACTGTCCAGGTGGGAACAAGTGGATAAATATAGATTGCTTAGGGAACATTGAGTTTTTGGCAAAAAACTTTTGGCAGTTTATATAACAATGTTGACTTGAAGTTAATGACTTTATATTTAAAAAAGATGTTAAGACCTTGTAAAGATGTTAAATCTTTACCAAAAATATTATACTCAACTAAGGAAAGATAAAAAGTATTCGAAAACCTCAAATTTGACTTCTATATGTTATTCTTTGCTTGATTCTTAGGACTTTTTTGTAGTTCTTAAAATCTAACCTTTTCAGTTAATGATTAAGTGAGCAACCAGTATATAGCACTCAACTTAAATAGTAGCAGTATGCCATAGTCACAATAAATGTGAGAGAAAGGGGCAAGTTAACTTTGTACCTCTGTCCCTGATGATTTTTCTCTGGGATACAGTTACTGGTAGCAGAAGGACTGGTGTGGGAAGATGTCCTTAGAGCCACTGCTGAGATGCCCACCAATGGGGATGAAAAATTCAGCAGCATGGAAGAGGTGTGGTGAGGGCAGACATTCACGTGATGGCTCACATTGATAACCAGTGGATTATGTTGACACGACAGTTCATAAGTTCCTGAGGAGAAATAAGGTAATGAATACTATTTTGAGCCATTAACCTAGAACCATGTAGCACCTATTTGTCTCCTCTATAGTTATGTAACATGCAAGACCACAAACATTTTCAAAGGTCAACATCAAACTGACTCCTAAGACTATTGGAATAACCCCTAGTGATTCTAAAGAAATAATCCTCAACTTACCAAGAGAGTGGTTGCTCCCAGTGACATCAACTAGATAGAGGGTCACTGTTGACTGCTGATGCTTCCCAAGGTCCAGGCCATCAGATGCCAAGAAAAGGAAAATTGCCTCTGCAATTCCTGGTCTATCGAAACACACCTGGGTATAAGCACATAAAGTATGAGCAATTGTTTCCATAGGCAGTCAAGATGAGAGCCCAACTCATCTCTATCATCCTTGATCAGTTCTTTGAAAGTAAGAACTTTGTTCTCCTTTGCAATGGAAAAAGCGGAGTAATCACAGCAGCATCCGAGGTGACAGCACACATCAAGACCAGGTGGCTGAAATGGAAGAAGATCATTGGTAGCTGCTGAGCATCCTCCCTCGAAACTGTGAAGTACCACAGTTTTAGTCACTGCAACCTGTTTCTGTTTGCTTGTTAGTTTTTTGACACAATTTCTAATGTAGACCAGGCCACACTCAAATTCACTATTTGTCCAAGGATGATATTGAACTCCTGGTTGTCCTGAAATCCTCTAAACTTCAAGTACTGGGATTACAAACATGAAACACCATGCCTAGCTTGGAGCTATCTTTTTAAATTTCTCAAGAGAGCATTGGTAGAGATAGTAATCTCTATACACTAACCAATATCCCTTCTACATTAAAGTGAGAGAAGTAGACAAGATATCCAATGAACCAACATCAGTAAACAAGCTAATGTCTTTTGATTTGTCCCAAGATGAGACCAGGTATTCATAGTTATCCTAACTGTAGTCTCTCTCCCTGCCTCCTACCTCCTTTCTCAGATCCTCTCTTTTACCAAATAAACTATGACACTGGGAGAGGCTATGGTGGTTTGAATGAGAATGGCATGCATACATACATATGTATGTATGTGTCAGATTCTATAATAGCATCTTAGTTACTATTTTATGTATCTGTGTGTGTGTGTGTATGTGTGTATGTGTGTGTGTGCAACCTGCTAAATCTGTATAATATTGCTTGTATGTACATCTTCAGGGGTAACCATTGTGGCTTTTTCTTGGGTTCTAATCACTGTGTAGTTCCAGTATAGAACATAGCATTTCTAATTGGCAGGGACCGCCTCTGGAGTGGGGAAAGGACTAAAAACATGTTTTCCATTTTAACAAGAATTTTTTTGTCCACAGTCTCGGGTTTCCTGATTCCTGGCAGCATGCTTATAGTATTCACTAGCACTGCTGCCTTAATTAGAGTGATTTTACGATTTTTGGTGGTCAAGGAAGCACAGCTCTCCCTTCGTCCTTTCCATCTTTGCAGGAAATTCCAGCCACACTCTCTTTACACAGTGTCTCCCCTACTTTCTTTTCATTTCCCTTCTTTGGAGTAATAAATACTCCTTCATAACTTCAAAAACATCCATTCACATAGGTTACAGCTTCTAAAATGAAAATGAAGTCTTCTATTCCTGGATGGCCAAGGGCTAGACATAAAACCATCCCAAGGAAACCAAGAGTCTAGCTCAAAGCACTTGACCCCACCAGCAAATGACATCAAAGCCTCTTGGGACCTCCCCATAGCATCTTCCTTTCCATGTACCACAGCAGAGACCTGAAGCTGGAAGACAGCTCACTTCCTGAGCCACAAACAAGAAGCCCTCAGAACCCAAGAGTGAGGTGACTTCAGCAAAACAGAGCATTTCAGTCTTCCACCCATCCCAAACTAGGTAGTGGAGGTAGGATTTATGGTGGGTGTGGGCTTTTCTGTCCTGAGGGCCCATACCCAAACTTTCTAATGCAGTTTGCATCTCTTAACAACATAGACTTCTGTTATGTGGCCGTTTGAATACCAAAGAACTGTGAAAGTTCAAGCCTGTTCTGAGGGCAGTGCCTCTGTGCTATGCTCTGTAGGGAGAGGTTGCAGAGGGACTTCCAGGCCACAGATTAAGCAGAAGAACCACAGGTGAGACTTCTAAGGGGCACACAGGCAACTAACTGTTGAATTACACAAGCAGAGAGACAAGATTTGGTCAGTTCATGTGTCTTAGACATTTCTCCTCACAAAGACAAAGGAGAGATAGATGACCTTAATTCTCACATGGAGCCTGAGTATGTCGCACAGCACCAGATAGAAGCATAAAAAGCATATGTTTTATATCACAACTGTTTGTACCTCAAAAACAGAGATCAGTCTGAATTTCCATATATATGAGTTAGCAACCTGAGTTCAGGTAAGGAGAAATCAAGGTTCACTGTTTGGAGAGAGATAGAGACAGAGAAACTGGCAGATGCTCTTAGACATATCCTTGCTAGCTATATAAGCATAAGCAATCTACCTCTGAAGTCTGAAGTTGGGGTTCCTCATTCCCACAGCTAGTAATAGAGATATTACTTATATCACATGGATACAATGTAGATTAAGTGAAATCAAACAAAGCAGACAAGATAACACATATAAACATTAAGGACTCCATATTCAATCATTCTTATTTCCCCAAAGAACCTCAGCTTATCCAATTTGTGTGATAGGAATGAAAACAGAAGGAATTAAAATTGTAAAGTTATATATATATATATATATATATATTATACTTTAGTATACAGAAAATTATGTTCTTCTAAAATGTACAGTTCAAAAATATTCCATTTGCTTTTATAAATTGACTTGTGGGAATATGAATTGGTTCTCCATGTTTGGGTTCCATAGGAACTATCAATATTTGAGTTCTTGATAGATTCTGCATAGACTACATGCCACGTGTAAGCATCATAAAACTAAATGAAATTGATTCTTATAAGGATGTAAAGCCACAGATAAATTCCAAAAAGAAGCAAACATGTTTCAGAAATACAATTCTGGAGTCTAAAGAACACTTTCAAGATAGAAGAATACCAAAGTAATTTGTGACAAAGAACATTGAAACAAAGAGAAAACAAAGCAGATAGACCATATAGCAGATACACAAGTGGATATGATAATGACAGATAGGTGAGAAGGTAGATAATCCATGAATTAAATAGATGGATTATAAATAGTGAAGAGAGAATGATAGAGCAAGACAGAGAGAAGACCGAGACAGGTTTAGGACAAATAGATACAAGCAGATGCTGATGGGGGGGGGGCGGAAAGAAACAGAAGAAGACAGAGACAACATAGCTGCTTTTTTACTCACTGACTCTATATGAAATCCCAAATTTAACACCAATTGCTAGCCACTGAAGAAGAGTTAAGATTGAGAGACACCATTTCTAATGAGAATTGTAGGACCCATTTCCAGACAGCTTGCTGGGCATGCGTGCAATGTACACCAAAGCCAAATGTTTCTACTTACAGGTCACCATTTGTGATGGTCACTGGACAGTAGACCCTGAAACTATACCACAGACCTAAAGAAAAATCAGGTTTAAAATTCTTCTGGTTAATTCCTGGCTTACCCCCACTCCATTTCATCTTCACTTATCTATGGCATTTCTCCAGAGGAAAAATGGATGCATTGGGTCAGAAGAATGCAGGTAGGCACTGCCTGCTATTTACATGGCATGAGGACATGCTTTCCTGGAGCCCTCAGCAGGCTTTTATTCCTATAGGAGATTTTTAATATGGTAGCCTCCATATATAAAGGTTTGATTAAAGAATTGTAAAAAAGGGTTTGCTCAGGTAAATAGTGCACAGAAGAATGGTGGCTTTCTCAATTTTCCATTCTAAATCACTTTAGAGGCTTACATATTTCTAATTTTAGATAAGCAGAAAATTATAGGTACTTCCCCAAATGTTTTGGTCTTTGGGACTCCCTCTCCACCTATAAAGTTAAATGAACACAAAAATATCAAAGCTTCCTATGGTTTTAAGGATCAGAGAGGCATCTTTAAACTACACTTGAAATTTAATAAGGCCCACCCAAACTCTGAATACTATTATTTTACTGTTAGCTAAACTACATGCACTTTTGTAGGCAAAACATATCAAATGTTCATGACTTCAGGTGAGTCAGTCTAATAAATTTGTGATCAGAAGCTTTGACAAGGCAGAGATTAACTGCAAGTTGCAAAGAATCTTCCCTGCTATAGCTAATAGAGGAAGGGGGCTTATGACAACTAACTCTAGGCAGCCAGATTGTCTCCAGATTTAGAATGTCACTCAAAATGAAGATAGGACTTTTGAGCCTGTTAGACTCCCTTCTCATGCCCAAGTTCCTGATGGTATTGATCAGAATCTAGACAATGCTGTTCTTTATTCCTCTATGATACTAAAAAGACTGTAACCACTGAAAATTTATATGATGCTGCTTCTATAAGAGTCAGAGCAAATTATCATTATGTGTAATTGCTCTTATGGCTCCCACAATTCATGGTTAGACTTTCAAAGTTGTAATCATTGGCAAGTCGGTGGAAGAAGCTAGGATCTACTCAGATGACCAGTGCAATACAAGGCCACATCTGTGAAGACTCTGCTAGATGAGTTTACGAGACTTCAAAGGAGAAGGAAGGGACAGAACCACATTTGCAGTAACTGCTGCCATGGTGGGTCTCCCACACCACCTCTTTTATGACTGTGGCACTCAATTCAAAGTAATGTCTCTCTAGAAACTTCCCTTTTGGTGACCTCCTCATACAGGGTCATGCCACTTTCTTGGAGTGTGAGGAGGAGGGGCAGGAAGCTCATGTCAAGTAACATTTGGTAACACTGAGTAATAGAGTGAGATTAATCTAATCTGAAGGGCTTTCCCAGCTTCCACATGATTCTGACACAATTTTCCCACTGACTAATCTACTTTTTTTAGTTCCCTACACCCTGAAACCAACAATAGCTCTCAGTAAACTCTACAGATAGATTTTCCTCTTCAATCCTGAATCCCAGGGAACATTCAAGCAAAGATAAAGCCTGAAAAGGAGGAAAGGTATTCTGGGATACAGATAGCAACAGTCCTCATGGAATTCAGATAGAGATGGTCCCCTTGGAAACTGGAATAAGGGTAAGAATGGGAGCATGCCCATTGGGCAAGTATCCATTATTCACTAGAAACAATGGATGCCCCAGATATTTATGGAGCTTAGAATTTGTGAAGTTGTCCTGCTTGGGACAAGCAAATGTTTCCATATAAAATGAATTGAATTTTAGATTGGTAACAATCAAATAGTAAAGGGTAAATAAGGCTTTGCCCTCTAGGGACAAATTGA